ACTTCACTGTCACTGTTGCCATTACACGTCTCTACGTTAACCACAACGATGTTCAACAAAGCACCAATGACCTCGTTAAGTAAATCGTGTCCCCTAGCGACGTTAAATGACTTTAATTCTCACGGAATCCTTCACAGTACACAACGCATCCCACCAAGGACACAACTTGTCTACAGTTCACACACGGTATATCACAGTACAACACAGTACATCACATTACATCCTTGCCACTCACGGCAAAACTTGTAAGTGACTTCCCCAGTAAATTATCACCCAATAATTCATAACTTTACCACAACACAACAGTAAAATAAGCGCTGGCCAATATAATTAAAGAATTATCAATAACCAAGGGAAATCTCCCTGTTACAACGTTACTGCTGAAAAGGGAATCAATTACAATAGAATTACATACACGGCACATATATAGAAATGGAAACAATTAAAAATCACTCTCCTCCACCACTGAATGTGTCTATGTGTCCTCACATGAGTTGCCGTTTTCGCCAGCAGGGGGTGTCTACCCACCCTGCTGTTCCTGGTGCTGGGGACGTGGCGTGTTTTGAGATGGGCGGCCCTATTCTCGCTGTCGTGCGGTTAAACTCCATCGGATTGGAGTTTACTGGCCGTGCTGGTTACCCGCTGGTGGACGTGGTATTGAGTGACATGCTTCGAGTCCCAGTTCGGGACGTATATGGCGTTGAGCTGGTCTCTGCTCACCATGTCATCATCAAGTTTGTGGGTGAGGTGGTGTACCGTGCTTTTCTACGGAGGTACGAGGGATGTACTGTGCAGCTGCAGGAAGGCTCCGGGTCTGTGACCATTTCGGACCGTAGTGGTGCTGTGACGTATGTCAGTGTTCATAGCGCCCCCATGGAGTTTCCTGAGAATCTCCTCCGGCGATTCTTCCAGAGGTATGGCTCCGTCATCAGTGTGCGGATGAACTCACTTTCGTCTGGAACGTATTCGGGTGTGAAGACCAATATTCGTACCCTCGGGATGCGACTGAGGTCGGACATTCCGTCCTCTGTCCGGCTCTTGGGATACTACGTGCGGGTGTTTTATGCCCGACAACCCCGTACTTGCTTCCGGTGTGGGTTGTTGGGGCATCAGGCTGCCGGGTGTACTGCTGATCCGGTCGCTCCCGTGAACTTGTTCCGTGATGAGGATTTCCTGCCGCTCCCTCTGGAGGAGGATTCCGGGGGTGAGGAGGTGAGCGTCCCGTTCGCTGCTGAGGCTCCCCCAGCGTCACCCGACGTTCCCCTGTTTGTCTTCGTCTACTGCCTGGGCTGATGTTGGGGACTTCAGTGACTGGGTCTTCAGGTGTTGACGGCGTGGCTCCGGATGCGTCGTTGTCTCCACGGTTGGTGGTGGCGGAGGTACATGTGCCTGCTGGGGCTGGTGACTGTGTCTCGGGTGTGCCGCCTGTTCCTTCCCCGCCTGGGGGCTCTCCGCAGTGGGGTGTGGTGGCTTCCGGTGCCGGGGGTGGTGAGGATGCTGGTGCTGGGCGTAGCCTGGTGGTGACTTTGAGAAAGGATGCACGCCGCCATGGTTCCCTGCAGTCGTCTGGTGGTGTGCCTGTGGCCGCTGGTACCCCTGTGGTGGTGCCCTCTGTCCGGCCCCTTACTGTGGAGGACCTTGAGGCCTGGGTTGCCGAGTTCCTACTGTCTGAGAAGGAAGACTTTTCTGATGAGCGGGTTCCAGGTGTATGGGATAGGGTGGCGGTTACTCGCATCCGGAAGGACACCATATGGGTTCCCTTTCTGCGAGTGTTTGTTGCCGGGGTTCCGCTTCACATGGCGTCCCCGGTGGTGGGTAAAGTCTCTTGGGGGAGGTGGCTGATTTGGGAGGCGTTTACTGTGCGGTATCCCCTTTCCCAGGCAAAAAAATGTAAGCTGATTTTACTTTGACATGTATGTTATCCTTCTGCTTTGCTCGCATGTGTATTTATTCTTAGCTTGTTATGTGCTTGGCAATTTTCTTGTTTTGTTTCATGATGTCCTTTATGTTGTGTTTTGTTCTTGGTCCTTCAGGCTGATGCGTGTTTGTTGTTGTGTATGTACCTATGTTTATTTTCTGATTTGCATGATTTGCTTGTTTATTATTGGTTTGGTGTGGGTGTTTTTATTCATGTCTTGTTTCTGTGCTGTACGTTTGCACTGGTGTTTTAATTATTACTTTACATGTTGTACTTGTTTATTATTATTTTTTTTGTGTGTGTGTATTGTACTTGTCCTGTTATGTTTTCTGTTATGCATATTGTTGTTTGTTTTGTTTATGATGTTTTGTTTTGAGATGTTAATGTGCTTGCTTGTTTGACAATTGTTTTCTATTTTGTGTCTTGATGTCTGTGTTTTTCACTACATTTATCGTGTTTGTATTTTGTTGTACTGAGCTGTCGGCCCTTCTGGCCGGTGGTCTATTGTTTTGTTTTGTTATGTTTTCTGTGTTTTTTTCTCGTTTTTATTGTATTTAAATTGCATGCTTTGCATGTAAAAATAAAAAAAAATAAAAATGTGTCCTCACTTAGACACAATAATGATGTCCGACCACCTAACGTTTAGGGAGCATAACCAAGCAAGTATTGCGTCAGCCAGAAAAATGATAGGATGGATTACGAGAACCTTCAAGTCCAGAGATCCCGTCACAATGGTTGTACATTTCAAATCACTTGTGTTGTCCTGTCTTGAATACTGCTCAGTATTAACTTCCCCCTTCAGAGCAGGAGAGATTGCTGAAATTGAGGGAATACAGAGAACATATATTTCACGCATAGACGAGATAAAGCACCTAAATTATTGGGATCGTCTCAAAGCTCTCCAAATGTACTCACTAGACAGGAGAGGAGAGAGATACCAAATAATATACACATGGAAAATACTGGAGGGACAGGTCCCAAATCTGCACAGTAAAATAACAACATACTGGAGTGAACGACATGGAAGAAAATGCAAAATAGAACCAATGAAGAGCAGAGGTGCCATGGGCACAATCAGAGAACCCTGTATGAACAACAGAGGCCCACGGTTGTTCAACGTCCTACCAGCGAGCATCAGAAATATTACAGCAACAACCGTGGACATCTTCAAGAGGAAACTAGATTGTTTTCTTCAAGGAGTGCCGGACCAACCGGGCTGTGGAGGGTATGTGGCCTGCGGGCCGCTCCAAGCAACAGCCTGGTGGACCAAACTCTCACAAGTCAAGTCTGGCCTCGAGCCGGTCTTGGGGAGTAAAAGAACTCTAGAACCCCATCAACCAGGTATCAACCAGGCATCTCACACACGTCAACCTCACAGTTGGGCGCCACCTCAACTTGACGTCAAACAGGGGTAACTCACACGTCTCCAATTCCCATTCACCTCACCAGATGGTCGACAGGGACAGAGGACAGATGGACCACTGGGTGCGAAACCAGCTCCAGTGTTTAATTACCCAAAAAACGGAAACAGTGTACTTACATTAATTCACCGGTCGGTACATACATACACACACACATACGTCTACCATTTCCCACTCTGCTGCTGCTGGTGGTGAAGTAGGCGTCCTCACTACTTCGTACACATGATTGGCTGGACCACGGGGTCGGCTAGACCACGGGTAAGTGGACCACAGGGTGCTGGACCACACACACAGACCAGGGTGACGCGGGTCGTTCGGCTCAAGGTCGCCAAGTGTACACGCGGCACACAGTTACACACACAGCTGATGGTGGTACCACATCCTCCTTACTGAAGTGGTACAACAGGCACAACAATATGCGATGCTACACGGCACACGAGAATGACAGAGTCCTTCACTGCTCGCTGCTAATTCCTCGGAATTATGAATTTAAGGTTTCCCTCATAACACTGAAACCTTCTCTAGCTCGTCTCACTGTGGTACCTTCAAGCCAAGGTACGATAGACGGTGGATGTCACTAACACACGACGATAACAGCCTCCCTCAGTCCAGTTGCTCTGAGATGGTGTCTCACGATCACGCGGCTAGATGACAAAATTCACACTGTTAATATTGTTGAATACACCTTCCCGCGACGCCGGATTCTTACGCACGGCCCCCGGAAAGATAGTACGACGATGAGAGTGACTTTAGTAACGTTGCAGGTGGTATTTCCCGGTACTTGACCTTAGTACGAGAAAGTACGTCCTTCTCTAGCAACGTTCCTGGTAACAATAACTATTTTGGCGCCAAGACGGCCCAGGGTGCCCATATGGTACCCCCTCAGCCTCTTGACCAATCACGGCTCAGCAATACCAGGAGGCCCAATTAGGCTTTAGCCAATGGTGCTCCTTCCTCACGACGCTGCTTCCCCCCTCTCACAAGATGGACACGTGATGGGGAGGGGGGGAGGGTAGCCTACAACCGTTAACCCCCTAACCCTCCCTCTCTACTCTTGACTTGTACAACAATTTTCCTGAAATCAACTCCCTCCTGTAATTTCCTTCACAGACCTGATACAGCGATCAGAATGACATCAATCGGTAGCAAATATCACGGGCTGTCTAACGGCACCCAACACGACTGTGTAGATGTTACATTACGAAGGTTGAGTCATGGTGCACATCACTGATGCACTATGCAATTTCGTACCTCATCCGGTGCCGGAAAAATCTGTCACCTGACATCCGCATCTTTCAGGAGATTGGTCTGGAGGCATTTGCTGAAGTTGGGTTGGAGAATGAGGGTTTGGTTTCTCTTCTCTCAGTAGGGGATTCGTTTGAGTTGCATAAGCTTTGGCCATGAACATTTACTCAACTTTCTCAAGGTTGCATACGTTTTCTTTCTTCCCTCTTGTGGGGGGTGGAGGGAGACTCTGTGTAATGCTCATCCTTGAGCACTGGCCTATGGCTGGGCTCAGGGGCCTTACGGCCTAAGTTTAAGTAATTTATATATGTTGTAATGGTTGTTCAGTACCATACCTCAACTCGTAGATGTTTGTTGCACTGTTATGTCTCATTCACGTAACATTCTAATATAATCTATGCCCCTTATGTTCCCAGGTTCCAGAATTGGAAGACACTGGCCCTATGCTAATCCAAAGAGCAATAAAGAAGGACATTGCTCTTGTTCCTGGGAAGGACTTTGTAGTGGACTCTAGCAAACCATGCCAGTACATGAGGGCAGCCTTCTCATGTGCCACTGCAGATGAGATGATGAAGGTGAGGTGATTGTATATTATAGTTATGCAGTAGCTATAAAGTAATTAAATTAAACCCTCAGTATATTGGCTTATTTTCTGTGGGGGAGCCCCGTCGGCTCTCTTGAGCTATTGGACTGATATTAGCTAATATTAGTACGGCCAGGGCTTCAGTCATATGGAGTTATGCCTACCAGGGACCACTAACCAGAACATGGTCTCCTCAGACAGGTGAAGGAAGCAATGTCCTTTGAAACTTACATATATGAAAGTATTCATGTTTGCCGTCGACTGGGGTAGAGCACCCAGAAAGGTAGGCGCTTCAAAACAGACCCCACCTGGTAGAACAGCCCGTCCTCCAAACAAAGACCCAAAAGTGATTCCATGCACCTGCCAAACCCCCTGATTTTGAACGAAAAACGGTTTTCACACGACTCGCAACTGATTTCGTTCGAACACTTACAAAACAGTGAGGGGGGGGGGGCTGAGTGTTGTCTAAAAGCCAAGTTTGTATTGTTCTGAGTAGTATTAATATAATATTAGCTAATATCAGTCCAATAGCTTCAGGGAGCCTCTTGGGGTCTACCCAGAAAATGGCGTAGATAATACTATAACAATTTATTTTATTTGTAATTCTCCTTTCACTGTATTCAAAGCATTTCAAGGCAAAGCTCACACCTATGAAGTGAGAAATAGGGTTTTGATGATGATTGTTATAATTCGGCTGGAAGAGAAATGAACGTGTGATCCACATGGCATTTATTTACAACAAAGACATCACTGGGTTATAGGTTACATGACTTACTATTTAAAATGCTTATAAAACAAAAGAGCATCTGCTCAAAATATTATGCACCTATCCTAAGTAGTACTTAATCCTACAACATACCTTAATCCTAACATTCCTCCCGTTTTAAATAAATTCTACCTCCTACAGCTTAAGTCTATCAGGCGTTTGTGTGACTGATTTTTCTTAATTGGGGATCCAGACCCGTTACTTCTGGGGAACCTTCTTCTGAATTACTAACTTCTGAGTCCATATGGTTAGCTGTATTTACATTCCACTCTGTTGACCTTTGGTCTGCCTCCGTGTTCCCTGCAGGTGCTACCCCCTTCATTATTAGGCTGTGTATCACTAGTTGACACATCCTCACCCGAAGGGACTTCAAAATTCCCAGTGAACCTTTGCATGAGTTGATCAGCATGACTTTTTCCAATTAATATTCCCTAAACTTTGCACTTGCAAGGAGAAATTCTTGCGGCCCAGGACTTCAATAATTTTCTCTTCTGCCAATGGCTTACCCATTCCAAAATTCCTTGAATATACTGCATCTCCCTTCTTTAAACAAAACTTCCTCTCCCTGAACCAACTGATTGGCCAAGCTAGTTATGGATTTTTCTTTATCTAGATCTGTTTTTACCATTTTCATGGGCACCTATTAAACAGTAATTCAGAATCTGCCCGAAACGCTGCGCGTACTAGTGGCTTTACAAGAATGTAATTACTGTACTATCCAATGTATTCTCACAAAGCCAATGTACCTTCTTGTATATATATAAATAAAATAAAAATAAAATAAAAAATAGAAGAAGATTTACCCAGGGCCATTTTTACAGCATTATGGGCCCCTGGGCAAACCATTGTGCTGGGGCCCCAAGGCAAACCATTGTGCTGGGGCCCCAAGGCAAACCATTGTGCTGGGGCCCCAAGGCAAACCATTGTGCTGGGGCCCCAAGGCAAACCATTGTGCTGGGGCCCCAAGGCAAACCATTGTGCTGGGGCCCCAAGGCAAACCATTGTGCTGGGGCCCCAAGGCAAACCATTGTGCTGGGGCCCCTGGGCAAACCATTGTGCTGGGGCCCCAAGGCAAACCATTGTGCTGGGGCCCCAAGGCAAACCATTGTGCTGGGGCCCCAAGGCAAACCATTGTGCTGGGGCCCCAAGGCAAACCATTGTGCTGGGGCCCTTACGACAACCAATCACAGGAATAAAAAGTAAATGGTTGATAATATTAAAAAATATTTATTTTATTGCCACTTCAACAAAACTGGCGTTAAAACATTTAAAACGTGCTATAGAGCAGCAACTAATCAACATGATAAATATTTGAACAATATACAAGGCTGGAAAAACACAATAATATTCAGTATGCGACACAGATTCAAATAAAATAAACTGAAATATTTATTCAGGTAAGAGTATATACATACAAGATGAGTTACAAACATAATGATGGATATATAGCTAGAGCTAGTACATACAATGCCTAAAGCCACTAATATGCACAGCATTTCGGGCAAGGTGTGGGGAAAAAGCCCCACTTAGACTAAAACTTAACACTAATTGAGATCTAAACATAAATTGAGTTGAAAAATGAACAAAAGGAGGGTGGGGAAACATGGCAGAAATCAGCATTTATACAAGTTGGTCATCAAACTGTGTGCTTGATACAGTACACTGTGTCTAGTGCTACCCAATACCCCAATCTTTATGTACCTAATCAAAACAGCTTTACCATTGTGATCATTGCTGTTTTTCTTATGTGCCTATTAATCATTGTTAAATTACAAATCAAGCTGTCAATGCAATCAGTCAGAGCTACCGATGTGCTTTAATATACCTACTAATCTCTCTCATCTCATTTTTTTCTTGCAATGTACCTGTTATCACTTTATAAATTTTGCTAGAATTCACCTACTTAAACTTATGTTAGATTAAGGACCTGCCCGAAACGCTGCACGTACTAGTGACTTTACAAGAATGTTAACACCATGCTATGTATCCTCACAAACCCAATGTATCTTCTTGTATATATATATATATATATATATATATATATATATATATATATATATATATATATATATATATATATATATATATATATATATATATATATAGAGAGAGAGAGAGAGAGAGAGAGAGAGAGAGAGAGAGACAGAGAGACTTTAGCTTACACATACACAACTGAATAGAACTTACACATCTTCGATTTGTTTATATCTACATTTGAGTGAGGTGGATGGGGTGAGGTGGAATTAATAGGGTATTAAATTCCTAAACACAAGACAGAACACGAAACAATGGGTATTGAATGGAAGTAATTGTAGAAAGCCTATTGGTCCATATTTCTTGATGCTGCTATATTGGAGCGGAGTCTTGAAGTTGGTAGAATATAGTTGTGCATTAATTGGCTGTTGATTGCTGGTGTTGAATTCTTGATGTGTAGTGCCTCGCAGACGTCAAGCCGCCTGCTATCGCTGTATCGATCGATGATTTCTGTGTTGTTTGCTAAGATTTCTCTGGTGATGGTTTGTTTGTGGGAAGAGATTATATGTTCCTTAATGGAGCCCTGTTGCTTATGCATCGATAAACGCCTGGAAAGAGATGTTGTTGTCTTGCCTATATACTGTTTTTTTTTAGGCTAACAGTCCCCAAGAGGGCATTTGAAAGCATAGACGACGTTGGTCTCTTTTAAAGCGTTCTGCTTTGTGTCTGGAGAGTTTCTCATAAGTAGGCTAGCCGTTTTTCTGGTTTTATAGTAAATCGTCAGTTGTATCTTCTGATTTTTGTCTGTAGGGATAACGTTGCTACTGACAATATCTTTCAGGACCCTTTCCTCCGTTTTATGGGCTGTGGAAAAGAAGTTCCTGTAAAATAGTCTAATAGGGGGTATAGGTGTTGTGTTAGTTGTCTCTTCAGAGGTTCCATGGCGTTTCACTTTCCTTCTTATGATGTCTTCCACGAAACCATTGGCGAAGCCGTTGTTGACTAGGACCTGCCTTACCCTATAGAGTTCTTCGTCGACTTGCTTCCATTCTGAGCTGTGGCTTAGAGCACGGTCGACATAAGCGTTAACAACACTCCTCTTGTACCTGTCCGGGCAGTCACTGTTGGCATTCAGGCACATTCCTATGTTTGTTTCCTTAGTGTAGACTGCAGTGTGGAAAACTCCGCTCCTTTCCATGACTGTTACATCTAGAAAGGGCAGCTTCCCATCCTTCTCCATCTCATAAGTGAAACGCAACACAGTATTCTGCTCAAATGCCTCCTTCAGCTCCTGCAGATGTCTGACATCAGGTACCTGTGTAAAAATGTCGTCAACATACCTGCAGTATATGGCCGGTTTCAAGTTCATGTCGACTAAGACTTTTTGCTCGATGGTACCCATGTACCCATGTAGAAGTTTGCAAACAGGACACCTAGGGGAGAACCAATGGCGACCCCATTTACTTGCTTATACATGTGTTATGTATACGTCGTCGTATACATAAATACAAAAATGAGTTTCCGACTGGACTCTTCATTGACCTGAAAAAGACCTTTGATACTGTTAATCACGATTACCTCTTATGTAAACTCCATCATTATGGAATCCGAGGCCATGCACTGGACTATATCCAATCCTATCTTAGTGATAGACACCAATGTGTAGCCATCAATAATATAACCTCTCCCATTCTACCAATAACCGTTGGAGTGCCACAGGGCAGCAACTTGGGACCTTTTCTATTTCTTATATACATCAATGATCTGCCTAATGTCTCTAACATTCTGAAACCTATTTTGTTTGCTGATGATAGTACCCTCATCTACTCCAACCCCAACCCACATACATTAAATGATGTTGTTAATAATGAACTAAAAAAAAGTCCATTTATGGATGTCAACCAACAAACTAACACTTAACATAGAAAAGACCTACTACATCCTATTTGGAAGCAAATCTACAAATGCAATTCAGCTTCAGATAGACAATGTAAACATTAGCAATAAAAATGATGGAAAGTTCCTTGGCCTATTCCTAGACAAGAGACTCAACTTCAGTACCCACATACAACACATAACCAAGAAAGTCTCTAAAACAGTTGGTATACTCTCCAAAATCAGATATTATGTACCTAACTCTGCTCTCATCTCTCTATATTATGCACTAATCTATCCCTATCTCAACTATCCCTATCTATCCCTATATCATCTGTGCATGGGGTTCAACCACTGCAAACCACCTCAAGTCCATC